AACCGCCTCACTTCCTCCTCGGGGTGCCGCATCCCCAGGACTAAATGGGGCAGCACCAGCGGGTCTGTGAGTAAATCCATGCCTAACGCACTTGTGAAGCAACGATTCACCGCCCGCGCTACTTGATGGAGCCGATCCTTATCCGCACGCCGTGTCGCCTGGTCCAGGGCGAGGAAAAGCTGTATGAGGGAAACGTGCTGGGAAAGGAAAGTGGCCACCAGCTCCCTTTCGCGTTCCCGACTCTGTGCTGTCCGCGACAATGAGTCCGAGGGCGGAAGCGCGCGGAGGAAAGCCTTGATTCGATCCCATTGTTCCGGGGTAGTCTCTGGTGATGGGGAAGCAGAATCCGCTGAGGAGGCTGCCATCACTCTGGGTGTGGTTTGTTGGCAATCACAGGACAGCAATCAGTCAGCGACAACGAACTGCACTAGGCGGGCACGGTGGTGCTCACAGTTTCTGTGCATATCCCGCAAGCGCTGTTGTGTCAACCTCTTCATAGAGAAAGTGCTGTCCGGCAGCAAATTAAGCGACTCGCCGGAGGGGCAAGCCGCCGCAATAGCGTGCCCTCAAAAACCGGAAAACATCCAATAAGTTAAACCTTCTCTGAGCCATCTCGCCTGACCGAGCATACTGACACGCTCTCCTTGAAATTCATCGTGGTTTTCCACTACGTGAGCTTGCTTAGCGTTGCCATAGAGGAGAATAGTCGTGATTCTAACCTCCTCACCCCTACTGTTAAAGTAGCCCCCTCGCGAAGCCTCACATTTCTCGATATCATCTCACCGTCAGCTTACAGAGGTACCAAAAGCAACTTTCAAAAGTGCAACCGTATGCTAGCACTTATTCTCCGGCGCAAGCTCCCCCCGGAGACCAGGCGATTATTCCCTCCACTCAGTCACGTTTGTTCACGCTCCCCTCCACGACTAGCGGCTACCTATCGCTTGGGCCCTCAGCCACGCTACGTCGTCTCACACCATGGCCCTCGGCGCGTCATTGTTGTGCAAAACTCGTCCAAGCAGCGCATGCCACCACCCCCACCTCCGCCCAAAGGCCGTCGATTTCCCCCGTATTTCTACTTTCTGGGTTTCATCTCCATCGGTGGCACCGCTTACTACTTCGCCTCGTTCGAAGAGACACCCTACACGGGCAGAAAGAGGCCCATGCTCGTAAGCAGGGCCACGGAGCTTCAGGTCAGGATGTCGTGTCTTATATTCGTCGACCCTCACTTTGTGCCCCTCCACTCTATCAGTCCGTCGTGTTTCCGGGCAACAAGCCCCTCTTGCCTTGACCCCCCACCCAACCTCCCACTCTCCCCTTTCCAGATCGGCGAGGCTTCGAACAAGGCACTGCTCCGTCAATTCCAGGGACGTATCCTTCCCCCTGACCACCGGACAGTCCGATTGTTGCAAAAAGTCGGGAAGAAACTGGCGCGGGAGGGGGGGGCCGACGCCCAGAACCTTCACTGGGAATTTCACGTCATCGCCGAAGGTACCTCTTTTCTCGTATGCACCTAGGAAGGAAAGGGGGGGGGAGGTGATGGTGCCCGAC